CCACCCACCCTGCTCTGAAATGGACAGAACAGAAGCAGAAGGTGGTTCTTAAAGAGACAGAGGTCAATTTCAAGGCATTTAGAAGAGGAAGTGATGAGAAGAAAAGTTTATTTTCTATTTAAACATAAAAAAGCCTTTTAATAACAGCTAAAGGTGACATAGATACTTTATTATGGTATAGTATTTAAATTTATGCCTGAGAAACACATAATATTGGCCCTATAATAGGTGGGCATGTGGAATCTCATGCAATACCACAAGTTCTGTTAGGCACTCAGACCAGGGATGTTATTTCTGTTTTTGCGTTTGCTAAGACCATATGTCTGTGCCGCAAGTCTTTGATTACAGTAAGTAATCGCTTGTGTATCCACTGATTACTTTCTAAGAAATTCCTTAAAGTCTGTTTGGTAGTTTCCAAGATATTTTGTCGATATGACAGACAGCCAAACACACACAGGCAACAAGAAAACCATTATCAAGTTTTTGCCTTTGGCGGAGGGCATTAAGTGTACACAAGACTGAAGGCTGCATTTCACAAATACAGGTTTGAAATGCTGAGGAACAGGTAGATCTTAGATGGAATAATGTAAGAAAAAAAACACCTCAGTGCTTTTAGTGAAGCATGCATCAACCACATTAAAGTGCTTACAGTAAATACTTGCTTGGTAAAGCAGAATCCCTATTTCCACATCTCTCTCTCTCTCTCACTCACACTCACACTCACACACATACACACACAAAGTACAGAGATCTTGAGGCGGCATGCCACAGAGATCAGGAGCTGCTTGTTGTCTTTACCAGGAGGTCAGAGAAGAGGTTAAGAACTTGATCCTTCCTCCACCAGATAACTACATTTCTCAGAGCACTGTCAGCTCCTCTGACATTCCACTATATATGACCACGTCTCAGGTCTGCAAACCACTAATGCAACAGCAGGTGATCATCGGTGCATTTGTGTCTGCTCATCGGTGTTTACCAGTTCTGTCACAGGTCAGCTGAGATGTGGCAGCCTGAACTTAGAACTTTCTTACTGATTATATCTGCCACTGTTTTAGGTTTCATAATATTTTAAACAAAAAGGATAAAAAATGTGCAGTAATTCACACATCTAAAATGAAACACGTTTTTTTTTAATTGTGGTATTTGTTCTGTAAAGTTCAGTGGTTTATCACTGTTTCCTGGAGGCAGCACCCAGTAAAATGAAATATTTGATATCAAGCATTAACTCCATTCTACCAGTGAATGACTTTATTCATCCCTGAGGGACAATTTGTAGTCATAAAAAGTAGATGCACACTCACAAAATAGCAGCACAGTCACTGGTCTACTGTTTTATTACGTTCTGGAAAAAAGCTGAGCTATTTATTTTTCACAATTTTTTTGATAAATATCTGTATTTTAAAGCATCAAATTTAATTTACATGAAACTTTAATCAGTTTAGTCAGTTCTTGGAAACAAGCTCAACATACTGCGCTCATTTGCTACTCTACTATTCACACATTTGGTTCCTTTCTGTCATCTTAGTTCTTATAATGCTGTTGACAGAGCTACCAGCCGCACACATGGGACAGATGGGCAACATTTTTTACTTGTGGCCTTTTTTTGTTCTTCCTTAGCTCACTCAATGTAGTTACAAAGACATCAGCTGTAAGTCCCTCAACGAAGAACTGAGAGTCTTACTACTTTTTAATGGGCAAATTCAGTTGAGTGATTGGTCAGAATGGGTCAATTACAAGTGTACTCCACATGTGGTCAGCTCTCACTGTGAGATCACTGTGACTTCTCTAGGGCCGATAAAAGCCAGAGTCACATCATGTGGTAGAAGACCATGGTAAAGACTTACTAAAAGTAGGAACTGTGAAATAGAAATGGAAGGCACTGTTATTTTTCTTCACATTTGACTTCTGTGTAATGACATGAGCAACTCTGATCAAAACATTTGGTTATAGAATACTTTTTCTTAGCACACGTGTTTTTTTTCTTCCCTAAAAGCTAGTATGTAGCTTAGTTTTAACAATCTATTCTATAAATGCTTTACATGTCTGCTAGTAATATGAAGAGTTTGAACTTGTTAAAAAACTAAATTATTAGTGAATGCATTTTACTTATCAGTCATTTAAAGGAGTGTGTGTGTGTGTGTGTGTGTGTGTGTGTGTGTGTGTGTGTGTGTGTGTGTTGGGGGGGCATTATGTATTATTCAGGCACATAGTTCAATCCTGCACAACAATCAGCTTTTACCTTCAGTTCTGAAAATCCTGTTTATATCAATAATAAATTTGACTTTGCATCGCCAGTCTCTTTAA